AGATGTTGTATTGGTTGTTGCTTATGTCATCAATTGCATGCCTTCCAAAGTGCTGAACTACAAGGCCCCCCATCAGTTGTTGTTCCCCCAATCTCCTTTGTTTTCCTTTCCCATGAGAGTGTTTGGTTGTCATGCTTTTGTCCATGATTTATCTCTGTCTCGTGGTAAGTTAGACCCTCGGTATATTCCATGTATCTTTTGGGGTATCCCTCTACTCAAAAGGGTTACTGGTGCTTTGATCCCATTGATCATAAGTTCTTTGTCTCTATGGATGTCTCCTTTTTTGAGTCTGAACCATTCTCCTCTGCTTCCCCTCAAGGGGAGAGTAGCATGGAAGAGGAGAAGCATGTCCAGGTCCATCAAGTCTCTCTTCCTTCTATTCCGGATCCTACTCCTTTTCATGTCTTCCAACGTACACATAGTAGAGATCAGCAATGTGACAAAGATGTGGAGCCACCAAAAACTGAGCAACCGACACCTTCAAGTTCCCAGGAGGTAAGTCCAAATGAACTAGGTACTATCCCACCTGTTGATACCCCAGCTCCCTCTTCAGTTGTGGATGACCTTGACATTCCTACTGCTCAAAGAAAGGGAGTTTGGTCATGCACTACAAAACACCCGATTACCCAGTATGTCTCCTATGACCACATTTCTCCCTCTTATCGTGCTTTCCTATCTGTAGTTGATAACATCCCTATACCCAGAAATATTGCGGAGGCTTTAAAATACCCTGAATGTACAAATGCTATGAAGGAGGAGATTAATGCTCTCCATAAGAACCCGACTTAGGAGTTGGTGGATCTTCCAAAGGGGAAGGACCCGGTAGGGTGCAAGTGGGGTGTTCACAGTGAAACACAAGGCGGACGGGACAGTTGAAAGGTATAAAGCAAGGTTGGTAGCAAAAGGGTACAATCAAGTCTATGGTGTTGACTATGATGAGACATTTGCTCCAGAAGCTAAGATGAACTCAATTCGGGTTCTTCTATCATTGGCTGCAAACTTTGACTGAGAATTACATTAGTTGGATATAAATAATGCCTTCTTAAATGGTGACTTGGAGGAGGAGGTCTATATGGTTCAACCCCCAGGGTTCTGTGCCAAAGGAAGTGAAAATAAGGTGTGCAAGCTAAGAAAGTTTATCTATGGTTTTAAACAATCTCCTAGGGCATGGTTCAGTAAATTTCATACGGTGGTCCAACAAGTAAGATTCAAATAATGTCAGTCCGATCACACTCTCATTGTAAAGAGATGTCAGGAACATGTTGCTATACTGATAATGTATGTGGATGATATCATCATTATAGAAAACTGGAGCTCAAAAATACAAAGGTTGAAGAGGTTCCTAACCTCCAAATTTGAAGTAAAAAATCTGGGTCCACTAAAGTATTTTCTTGGAATTGAAGTTTCCCACTCAAAAAGGGGCATCTATATTTCTCAAAGGAAGTATGTCCTTGATCTGTTACAAGACACAGACAAGTTAGGAGCAAAGCCAACAGATACTCCTATGGATGTGGATCATAAACTGGGTGATTGTGATGGTGAACCTCTAAAAGATGTGAAACAGTTGCAAAGGTTAGTAGGAAGGTTGCTCTATTTGTCCATAACACATCCAGACATTGCTTATTCAGTTGGGGTCCTAAGCCAATTCATGCATTCCCCTAAGAGACCACACATGGAGGCAGCAGAGAGGATTCTCAGGTATTTGAAGAAGTATCCAAGAACAATGTTGCTATTCAATAAACATAATCATCTGAAAGTGGGAGTCTATACAAATGCAAATTGGGCAGGTGTTGTGGATGATAGAAAGTCCACAAGTGGATCCTGCACATTTGTGGGAGGAAATCTAGTGACATGGAGAAGCAAAAAACAAAGTGTAGTTGCAAGGTCAAGTGCTGAAGCGGAGTATAGGGCTATGGCACATGGGGTCGCTGAAGTACTTTGGCTGAAGCATCGTCTAGGGGAACTTGGGGTAACTGTTCACAATCCTATGAAAAGTGGACAAGCACTTCATAAGAGAAAACTGGAGAAGGGAGAAATTTGTACGCCTTATGTCAACTCCAAGGAGCAACTAGCCGATGTTCTCACAAAAGGACTTCCATACTTGCGGCATAATGAGTTGTGTGACAAGTTGGGCATTATAGGTATATTTAGCCCAACTTGAGGGAGAGTGTTGTTAGAATTAGTTTTTTTATTTCTGTTGTTAGGGTGCTATCAATCTAGGATGCTATCAGCATGTTCTTTTCTTTGTTTAAGTTCTTATTATTAGAGCAGGCCACCAAGGCATGCTTGTAATTTCATTTTCTTTTATTTTACATCATGATAATACAAATAGGAAGCTGGGAGCCGCCAGTTTCAGTTTTTGACTTTCAAACACTTTTTCCTCTTCTCTTCTCTCCTCTCCTCTCCTCTCCTCTCCTCTCTCTCTTCTAGAAAGAAAATGCAGATAATATCATTATTTTTGTGAAGGGGGAGACCCTAGGAGTGTGAGGAAACTAAAAGAACTTATTCAAAGGTTAGAAAAGGTGTCCAATCTGAAAATCGATTTGGACAAAAATTGTGTAGCAGGGATTAATATGGATGAGAGTGTCCTATGTTTGGTCGCGGARTGCTTAGAGTGTCAGATTACCCCTTGGCCTTTGACCTACTTAGGACTTCCCCTAGGAGCCAACCCTAAGGAAAGCAGATTTCGGAACCCAGTTATAGAAGGATATGGTAAGAGACTGGCCACTTGGAAGAGGAGTTACATCTCTTTGGGAGGGAGGATTACCTTGATAAGATCTACTTTGGCTAACTTACCTATCTATTTCCTCTCTATTTTTAGGATCTCTCCAAGGGAAGAAAAGAAATTAGAAAAAATTATGAGAGATTTCCTTTGGGAGCCAGGAGAGACAAGAAAAGACCGCTTAATCAATTGGGGTATTGTGTGCAAAAGTAAGGAAGAGGGTGGATTACGTCTTGGGAATTTGAGACAGAAAAACGCAGCTCTATTAGGAAAATGGTTATGGAGGTGGTCACTTGAGCGGGAAAATTTGTGGGATGAAGTAGTGGACAATATTCATGGGAGATTAGAGAGTGGTCGGGATGCTGGTGTATCACGTTGGGCTACTTTGCCTTGGAAAGCAATCCACAATGTGCTTCCTCAGTTCCTCAGTTTTAGCAAATATGATGCTTGCTCAGGGAACCTAATCCGTTAATTGGAATATATTTGGCTTGATGACCGACCCCTAAAGGACCTGTTTCCTTGTACTCCATTTCCTTATACAAAAATAAGGTGATTTCGAGCTTTTTTAGTCTTTTCTACTTCACCTTTGAATCTTAATTGGGATTTTGGGTTCGAAGGGGGCTAAGGGATAAAGAAGCCTCCTTTTTGACAGAGCTTTTCTTACGATTTGATAAAGTTTGCCTAGACCCTCTAAACCAAACAGGAGAGTTTGGTTACCAAATCCTAAAGGTTTCTTCTCTTGGGCCTCCTTCTTTAAAACTCTTTGCCAGTCCTCTTCCTCTCCGATGTTTCCTTGGTAGGACGTTTGGTTTCAGCCGATCCCCCGTAAAATAAAGGCCTTTTATTGGGAAGTGGTATATGGGAAAATTAGCACTTTGGATTATTTGCAAAAGAACAGGCCTTTTTTGTGTATTTCCTCGAATTGGTGCACTCTGTATAAGTTTGATGGTGAATCTTGTTTTCATATAATTATTTCCTGTTCTTTTACTACAGAAATTTGGGAGTGGATCTTCTCTTTATTTGGGTGCAGGTGGAATATGCCATTGGAGATTAAATTGTTGTTTAATCCATCTACATTTACTTGGCCAAAGAAAAGGAGAATAACGACGTGAAGATGTGCTAGAGCAGCAGTGGTTTGGACTTTATGGGAAGAAAGAAATGCCAGAATCTTCCAAGAGAAGGAGAGCAGCAGCAAATTATGGATTGTGTTTTGGCTAAAACTATACATTGGCTACAAACTGTGGAACTGTTTAAAAGTTTCTCCTTTGATGACATTTGGAGGAATTGGCTTTCAGTAGATTCTAGTTTAGTACAAAAGGCTAAAACACGACTGAGTTGGACACCACCCATGGAAGTCTTCATGAAACTAAACTTTGATGGGAGTAGTTGAGGCAACCCAGGTGGCCAGGACTATCTGGAATTGGAGGAACCATTAGACACATGGATGGGAATCTGAGAGCATTATACTCAGGACCGATGGGAAATGGAGACTCTTTAAGGGATAAACTGTATGCAATCCTACAAGGTGTACAGATTGCAAGAGAGAAAGGGATGGAGTGCTTGGTGATAGAAGGGGACTCCAAGGTGGTGGTGGGTTGGCTTAGAGATACAAATTCAGTGATATGGTGCTACAGAAATGAATTGAAGAAATTCAAATGGGCAACACAACATATGAATTTAATCATACAATCGGTGGGAAGGAGGCTAATTCATTTGCTGATTGCTTAGACAAACAAGGAGTAACTAGGGAACAGTTGTATTGGGCCCATTTATGAATTTTGTGTTGTTCTTTTCTTTTAAAGGATGAGGCTGCACCTCGTGCCTCCTGTTGGGATGCTTGTAACAGTCTTTATTTTGTTGATAATAAATTCTCAATGAAATTTTATTTATCAGAAAAAAACATTACTATTCCACATATCTAAATTTTTTTATCAATAACTGCAATAACTTATTATTAATAAGAAGTTAGAAGTACAGTACAAATAACAAAAATATTGCCCCCAATTTATGTTATAATACCATCTCTTGTACTCCACATAGCACCAACAGTTTTCATTAGGGAATATGTCAATTCCAGTAATATTTCATGTTGATACCCATGGAAATGGAAATATGCCGTGGAAATGTTAGGAAAATTTCTTGCATTTTCTTGCATGAAGTGTCTGCTCTTGGACTCTGGCCCGCATTATCACATTTGTCAACCTAAGATTTCACCATTACACTAAACAATGCCCCTAATAACATAAAAATAATAGCACAAAAAATATGGATCTCTTACCAAGCCCCAAGGATGATGCAAAAACAGGTCTCACCGGAAGCTCAGTGTAAACATAGTACAGTAGCAAAGCTGACAAGCCCCCAGCAGCTAGAGACTTCTGGCTTCCACTTTTCAAATAGCCCATCACACCTCCAGCTGTCACAATGCCAATCAAAACAAAATCAATGTTAGATATAACATTCAACAAGTAATTACGTCAAAACTGAATAACTTATACTATTCAAAGCGATATTGAAAACAACCTTAAAGAAGGAAAGTTTTTTTTCTTTTGGTGTAGTTTTGGAAGAAATGATAATTAAATAAGAAGCAATTCCAATAGCCCTCATTTCAACTAGTGACCCCAAAATTCTGCAAGGCCTCTGACAATACCACTATTACAATGTTTTAAAATAGATTTGATTAAAAACAATGAAGAGAAAATAGAAACACTTTTCTGCCAACAATTGTCCAAATTTAAAATAAAACCCTTAAACACTTTCTTTATCAGCAAAGAAAAATCATTTATTAAGTTATTAATAACTGGTTACAGTATAAATGTAACCCAGGATACTATAGATTACAGCAATGCCCAAACGAAAGTGGGTCTATCAAATCCCTGCTTTGCTAACACATCCGCCAACCCATTTGCTTCCCTTTTGAACCATCCAAAACCAGAATTATATTTCTTAGCAAGCATGTCAATTTGTCTGAAGATAAATCTGAGTTTCCAGGGTGCTGAGTCAATTTGCTTTTCCCATTTTTTTAATAAAACCGGAAGGTGCTACACAAGCCTGGGGGTAGCACATCCCCAAAGGTCACTAAAATAAATATACCTTAGATCCCAATGCAAGCTATTTAAATGAACAGACCCTCCCACCATAGCCTTATGCGCTAACCAATCAGCCACTTGATTGGCTTCATGGATCAAATGAAGGAAGGAAACACCATAAGTAAACTGGGTACTCAAACGCACACACTCAGCAAGGATGCTTTTTAATCTCCACGGTGGATCCACAGTTTTCTTCAGACAGTCGATGGCAAGCTTCGAATCTCCTCCAATGATAATGGGTGAATCCTTTAAGTTGATGGTGATGTTAAGCGCTTTCCAAGCCACCCAAGCTTTAGCAACGTTGACGGAGGCAAGGCCAATGTGATATGCCTTCAGGTCACGCACCAAACCACAATGATCTCTAGCAATGCAAGCGATGGAGCACCAACCTTCCGAGATACATGAGACATAAAGTTGATTTTAATAACCCCTCTTTTTCGGGCTCTCCAAACAATTGATTTCCACCCTTTATGGGCTTCAACTGATTCATCATTAAGAAGGTTGGGCGTAATCTCTCCATAGAAATGGAAGGCTTTCTCCAACAGAACCGGAGGGGTGTGGATTTATCATTGAACAAAAGATTTTTTTTTTTGATCAATAACTTTGAAAGAATTTCATTAACTAAAATACTTTAGGATACAACAAGAATTTGCAAAAGAAATCAGCTTAGTAAGCTGACCCAGGACAGAATTACAAATGTGCCCAAAACATATATGTTCTTTGAACCCCTTGCTTTGCCAAGCTATCTGCCAAACTGTTGGCAGATCTCCTAACCCATTCCACCTTGATTGACATGTTCCTTGACATCCATTTAAATCTTCTGAAATCATTCTTCAACTGCCATGTCACCCCTTCCCCTTTCTGCAACCATTTTATCACAGTTTTTGAGTCTCCCTCGATCAATAATGAATCCATTTTCATCTCTAATGCCCCCCCCCCAAATACCTGAAGGGCCTGGGTTACCCACACAACTCCCATCAAAGTCCAGCTTCTTCCAACCTTCCGTTGGAGGGAACCAAGACTCTAAAAACTATCATCTCATAGATGATGAAGCAGCAATAAGTCCCCAAACCCTGAAAAAGTCTACGACCCTAAAAGCTGAAAACAGCTTCAAGCTTTTTACCCAATGTGCCACCCTCAATGTTATTGTTTCAACTAAAACTTCCTTGCATTTTTCTTTACTTTCAAATATTCTATAATTTCTTTCCTCCCAAATGGTCCACAGTATTGTCGCTCTAGTACACCTCCAAAGAATCCTTCCCCTCCTTGTCTTACCATTAAAACCATTAGGGTTGAGTAAACCTTCCACCCTGTCAAGAGAGGACCACCTTCACCCGAAAAGGGAAGTAAACCAATTCCAAATAAAACTGACAAAAGGGCAAGATATTAGAAGATGGAAAGCAGTCTCACCACTCAATTTACATAGGACACACCAGTTAAGGGATAAGCACCAATTTGGTCTTTTCCTTTGAAGTATATCAAAGGTATTAATACAATCATGAAAAACCTCCCAACAAAAAGCACTAATTTTAGGGGGAATAGGAGGGCACCAAATTTGTTTGACTGGAAAATGAAGAGAAGATTGTGTGGCAACCAACAAATGTAGAAAGAATTTACAAAAAGACCCGTCAGAATTAGGACCCCAAATTCTAGAGTCTAACCCACCTTCCCCCAAGAAAACTGAATTCAGCAATCCTAACAACTCGGACACTACAAGAAGTTCAGACTCTCTAAGGTTCCTATTAAATCCAAAGTTCCTATTCAACCCTGGAAAGTGAGATGGTTGACTTAGGAAATCTGAAAAAGGCTTACCCTTGAACCTAGACAGATCACAAAGAGAAGGAAATTTCTCACCTAAAGAAGTATCCCCAATCCACACATCCTCCCAAAATCGGATTTTAATACCAGAAGACAAGTCATACCTGATAAAATTTAGGAATGTAGGGAGAATATCAGGGATGGCCTTCTAGGGAGCAGCCAAGTTAGCCCTACAGAAACATCCAGCATCCCATCCGTTGCTCGACATGCCATGAATGCTTGCAAACACTCTGTGCCATAATTTCTCATTTTCATTTGGAAACCTCCAAAGCCATTTGCTAAGCAAAGCCTGATTCTTCAATCTAACATTACCTATTCCCAAAC